CACACACACACACACACACACACACACACACACACACACACACACACACACACACAGGCCTGTATCTGCGACTGTGGAGATGAAGCAGTTACCGGTTTCACGCTCTATCGCAGTAGAAATGCGGTTAGCATTACTGTTTAAATTTTAATTATCACTATAACCGTGGTTAATCTAACTCACATTAGGTTCTGTACAGCATCAACCAGCAACAGCAACACCCTTTACAGCAAAGTTAGCAGGTATTAGCAGGATTCTTTAGGATGTTTACACACCTGCGCTTTCTAGTCCGGTTTAACCGAACCCTGGTTCGATTTCCCCCTCGGTGCGATTCGTTTGTGCAGGTGTGAAGCGATGTCGTCACATGCACTTACAGAACACACACACACACACACAAACAGTGAGCTGCTAGCCTCCGTGTGAACCGGTAACCGGCGTGTCTGTGCTGGGCAGGTGACAGGTGTGTTCACGGTGTTTCTGCACTGAAAGACGTTACAGCTTGGAAAACAATAACAAATAATAATAATAATGATAATAATAATATAATAGTTCATTTGCTTTTCCCTTGTTAACAGAGCGAGCATGCAGCAGGTAAACCCCGTACTGCTGTGGCTCCCTTGTCCACATCTGTGACACAGATGTGTTGGACGTGTTTTTATTTTACATGTTTTTTGTGGTTTACATGATAAAACTTTTTGAATATTTTCAGCACATTTTAACAACACCGTGATAATTCTGGTCACTATAATCATGATATTAAACTTTTATATTAACGCGACGACATGGGTTGAACCCTGCAGAACAAGGTCCAGAGAGTAAGGGGGTATTTTAGTTGTTCTTGAGTGGAGAGTTTAAAAGAAGCTGTGGCTGCGGCAGCTCTTCTCACAGAGAACAGCAGGTCGACTGATAAAAGGCCGCTCTCTCCTTCTGCTACCCGTAAATCACAGACAGTCTGTTGAACACAACGAGTACGGCTCCGATTCAGAAAACTCAGACCGTGTGTGTGTGTGTGTGTGTGTGTGTGTGTGTCTGGCTGACTCAGTGCATTTGGCTTTAAAGTGCTCCTCCTGTCTTGGCTGAACACTTATTTAAAAATGGTGATTTTCCTATTCTTACATTACTACATGAAGGCAGAGGACAGATGGAGCAGGAGGATTCCTCTGGGTCCACGCTTGTGTGCGTTTGAGTGAGAGACAAAGAAATTATTTGAGACAGTGTGGGATAAAAAAAATGTTTTTTTTTGTTTTTGTTTTTTTAAATGGAGCACCCGCCGTTTTCAGGCTTGCCTCAACATGTACTTTGTGGTGCAGGTCTTATCACCCCTGTCAAACAGCCAACCATCTCTGTGACACAGGCGCAGAAGTCCCATAACCAGTCGGCCCGCTATGACTGACTGGCTGACTGACTGTGTCTGTCAAGGCCTGCCAAGCTCCCTGATTCACATGGAGCTTCTGTTTGTACGCCCAATGAAGTGCTTCACTCAGGACCAGCAGTTTGGATGACACAGGCGGTTATTCATGCGTCGGTCGAAGCAGAAACAGTTTTTCCCCTCAGAACAGATTCTCCCCACTCACTCAACCTCCTTGGCTGACTACCAAAACAAGGCAGACCGTCTCTTTACTGCCTCTCCTCACTTCCTTTATGTGCCATATCAAGTTGGAAAGTCCCAGGTGTGGAGCAGGTACTACAGCTATTTATCAGAACAAAAAGACAAATGCAATAAGATAAAGGCTAATAACTGGAGACGCTGGACCTGTATGGACTGATACTGCTGCCATTGTTTTTTAAGTGGTCTTGGTTATTAGTCCTCACAGCAGCAGCAGCAGCTTTCACACGCACAACACTGTCACAACACTTCTACTTGGTTGCAATGGATTGTAATTATATATTATATAAATGTTAATGATATACCAGGCTCTGTCACCGCCCTGACTTCTAAAGCAGGGTTACGAAAAGAGAGGTAATTGCAGCAACCACAATATAATTCACCTGTCATACTCTGCAGGGAGTTTACAGAGGTGTCACTGCTGCCAAGTATGTTTGTTCACACAGACGTGATATACGTTTTCACTGTATATTTCCATTATGTCCTAATATAGGGGTCTGGTTGGTTGAAATGTTGGAACCGTCTCTGTGCAAAAACATTCCCAATTCTTACCCTCACTTGCTGTGGATATTTTTCCAAGTGGCCTGGATGAAACCTTCACAGGCACTAACGATGACCAGATGTGCGGTGTGTGCATGACTCAACGATGGTGTGTGTGCGTGTGCGTGTGTGTGTGTGTGTGTGCCCTGCCCTTTAATCTCTGCAGCGAGTTGCCAACAACTGCCACTAGGTCAAAGCACAAGGTATCATACGAAAGTACTGTAAGTGTGGGGGGCAACTGTAACACACACACAGCCCCGTGCAGGAGGATGATAAACACTGGATCTTATCTGCATGCTGAAAGAGGAACTGGGAATGCAACAACTGTTATCACGAAATAAAAAGCCAATAATGTTTAATTGTTGTGGGATAGGCCTGCGTCTATTTAAGATAATGTGTGTGTGTGTGTGTGTGTGTGGGGGGGGGGGGGGGGGTGAAGCAGCATAAATACGATTTAAAGGTCGCTATACAGTTGCTTGTGATGACCACACAAATATCTCCACGCTTTTTCGTGCGTGTACGTGTGCGTGCCGTACCCCCCGGGATATTATGAGGAGCTAATTGGAAAGCCCCGGTGACGTTAACCGTAAAAAAAAAAAACAGTGAAATAAAATGAGAAAACGCAGCACTTACTTGCCAATGACCTCACAGAGCTCGTACACATCTTCAAAGAGAATGTCGTCGTCCGCCATAGTCCGACCCCGGCTGGGGGAAAGAATTATCCCCAAAAATATGCGTCCCAAACCCGGTTATATGCTCCTAAAAAAAAAATGGTGAAAACCGGAGGCCGGCGTGGGGGCAGGGAGGCGGGGGCAGCTGACCGTTTGGCAGGAATAACGGACAACACACCGGCCGTGTCGTCAGCTGCAGGGTAGTCGGTAAAGAGTTCCAAAGAAAGGTTTCTAAATCCCGGTTGTTGCCTCCTTTTCGTCGACCCCCCGCCCCCCCTCACCTCCACAAAAAACCGCTGCGTCGCTGTGGGTGAATCGGCACAGGGAGAGCTCAATAATCCAGTTTGGGGAGTCCACCGGTTCGGCCCCGCCTTTCCCACAGCTTCCCGGTATCGTGCCCCTTCGTGTCAAAAAGCAAACATTATAGTAAACTACTCCGCCGGTGTGTCTGTGTGCTTGCTGCCGTTGGCGGCTCCGGCTGCTTCGCTGGCTTGAGAGGGGATGAATTGCCCGAGCAGACCCCGTGGACTGTGTACTACATCAGGCTCGGGTTACAGCACCGATCCAGGTGGGCTACGCGGATCTTCACATCCCGAAGAGCCGAACGGGTTCCACTTTTCAGGGATGCGCACACACACCCGCGCGCACACACACACACACAAACACAAACACAAACACACAGTCCTGTGATATAACTGACAAGTCGCCCGCCGTACACTTTCAGAAAGCTCCGGTCTCCGCTCTCCTTCTCCGCGGCTCGGAAACACTTCCCAGCCGTTGGTGAGTGTTTTCTTCCTCCCACCGTCGCCCGTCTGCCCGGACGTTTATCTCCGCGGAGCTTCCAGAAAACCAAGCTCCGCCCACACGGGGGTTATGAAACTGCTCCGCCGTCCTCCATTTCGGCGCCAAGCCGTTGCCCAGGGTTCTCCGTCGAGGACTATAGGCTTTGAGCCAACATGGCGGAGCGGCGGCGCCATAAAGGATTTTCTGAAATCGCAGTTTCCTCGGGACTTTTTGAATGGATAGACCTGAAGCGGAGTTCCCAGTCGGAAGCGAGGAGGAGTATGAATGAAGAGTGTCCTTAAATGAAACTACCATGTTTAAATTAAGAAGTTAGCTTTCTCTTTAGCGACCTCTTTGGCCTGGTTTTTAATTAGACTGTTTTACAACCATTACTTATTTTATTTAATCATTTATTTTATTGTATTCATGGTTTAAAATGTTCTATTGCCTCTAATCGATTTATTTGTTACTATTTTTTTTTATCTATTTTCAATACTTATTTATATTTCATATTATTTATACTGCATATATTAACTTTTCTGTAAACTTTTCAATAAAGTACTTTGAATTGTATTAACCTGTAAAAACCATAAAGTTTGGTTGACTTATTGATTGATTGATTTTACTCCATTTATTCAGATTTTTAGCACAGAAGCACAGGGCTGTAGGGCTGAAACCATCAGTCAATTAATCGATAAGTTGATTGACAGAAAATGAATCTGCAGTCATAATAGTAATAATAACTTTTATCAATATAGTGCTTTTCAAAACAGAGTTACAAAACAAAATAAATAAAAACAAAGAGATAAAAGACAGAGAAGAGAGGCAAAGTCAATCAATCAAAGCAGACAAAAGATAATAAAATCAAAAGTAGAAACTAAAGATGTTTTATAAGTATGTTTTGAGTAGTGTTTTAACTGGGTCAACGACTCAGCACGCCTGATCTCCTCGGGCAATCATTGTGATAATTGATTATTGGTTTAAGAAATTTTTCCTGCAGAAACGTCTAACAGTTGGTTCAAGCTTCTCCAGTTTGAGGTTTCACTGCTTTTTATATCACTGTAAACTGAACGACCCTATTAAAGTTGAGAAGTTATCTTTCTCTTGGTGCCCCAGCTCATGGCTAAACCCGAGCCAGTCACAGTGCCTCTTCCCATGATACTGGTGGGATACATAATATAGTTTTATGTATGGTCATCTGGTTTAATGTCTGACACATCAAACCGACTTCAAGAGAATAACGCAGGCTACAGAGGTCTGGTAAGTTCACTTCTTTCTAACTCCACACCCCCAGGTCGGTTCACTTTTCAGACTCAGACCAAACCACCAACACTGTGACATCACCTGAGGACATTTATAAGACTTCACACAGTTCCCCCAAAGACTTTATACTACTGTTTCACATATGTATTAGTTCCCCCTGGAAACACACTTGGATGTGTAAAATTGGGGGAGTTCCTCTACAGAAGTTGGAGTTGACCATAAAACTTTCACACCACTGTGAATCTGTTAAATGCTCAAAGTCAAAATTGAGAATATGTCTGATAAGAATTTGGAGATGGGACTTAAAGTCCGGGTCCTTCAGGGCTGATAAGTGAAGCCAACACTGAAGTGACAAAAAACAGCAGTTCCTCTAATGACCACTAGAGTCTGGCTCCAACAGTGAGTCAGTCCCCATAGACTCCCATGTTAAAATGTCCAACTTTACAGCAGAAATAAACATGTTTACAGCCTGGTACAAAAACTAATTTCCTCCTTCATGACACCTGTTTATATAACTCACCTGTTTACATTTTATTAAAGACTAAAGTTATGGAGAATTGAGGGCGTGGCCTCTTTGAGTGACAGGTGGGTGAGCACATGCCTGCCTCAAACCGACATGAGCTAAAGTCTTGGCAGCTGCATGTATGGTCTGTGCATGAAGTATAATTCTTCTGCAGTTGTTCACGTTGTATAATGTAAAATGCCTGTTTAGGAGGTAGCCTGTTGTCTAATTTCATTGTCCTACTTGTGCTAAGTGTAAATGTATGTTGACGTTTGTGAGCTCGTTCTTCATTAGCCGATGCTGCCTAAACACTGTTAACGCTTTGTGTGTGTTATCATCCCATTAAATGAAGACGTACAATTCAGCGCACCAAAGCGTCAGTTTGTTCCATTACGAACTTGTACAATAGAAAATTGAACAAGGAAGTCGAGAGCCGGAAACAGAAACAGCTCGTCTTCAAAGTAAAAGTTGTGCCACTGTGAGAAATGCGTTACCTTACTAACCCCATAATCTACAGTAGCTGTGTAGTTTACCTCTAACAGGTCTCATCCAGACTTTAAATTGGACATAAGGTTTAAGATATAAAACACTCATTTTGGTTTGAGAAATTAGACAAACATTTTAAGGCCTCGCAGCATCAGAGCCCTATTCATCGTTATAGCACAAACTGGGATGACGTTGCACATTTTAAGGTTCTCCCTTTGGTTTCTAACTTTAGAGGAGAGTGCAGCGTGTTCACAAATCTGTTCTGGGGCGCTTTCCACATGTATGTGTTCTTACACTGGACTTGACTTGATGAAATGAGCAAAGCAGGAGAAGCAGTCAACAGGTTCCATTTTAAAGTATTTCTTTCTTTGCTTGCAGTCAGTCGGGTGTGAAACCACATATACAGGTCAAATTCTACCATATTATCTTGAACAAACAACAACTATGAACAGTTCTAAAAAAATCAGTACATCAATACATTGTCACTTTAAATATATATCTGAGAACAAACCAAGGAGATTAGATGTTCTACTTAACAACAAAATAAACATGACTTTAGAAAATATAATGAAATGAACTCACTCAACGCTCTCAGGAACAAAGGTGAAATGACAGAAGGAAGCAGCTGAACTGAAGAGCAAACAGAGAATGAGCTCAGGACACAGAACAAAGACTGTTCAAGGCACCTGTGTGAGCCGCCCAGTTAGCACACCTGTCCTCCTGCTGCTCTTCAGCCCAGCAGTCATGTGACCCCACCTCCAACAGTATATGTTATCATTTACGTTATTAATGTAAGTTTTATTGTACAAGTTGGACAATGGAACAAACATACATTTACACTTAGCACAAGGCGATGAAAGTAGGCGATACCTCCTAAACTGGCATTTTTCATTACACAACGTGAAGAGGAATTATACCATGTATGCAGAGGAACACGTTTCCACATGTTTATGGTTCAGTGTGAACAGCAGTAGACCGAATTACCCTCTGGATAGATTCATCGTGAAAATATAACGTTGAATACATTTTCAAATGTAACCTGATGCGGTGATATGATGTAAATCTTTACAATTGCTTTAACACTCAACAGTCACCTCTCTTCTAGACTGAGGCAACATTCATTCACACCTTTTACCATCTACACCAATACATTCACGGTGGACCCCCCCCCCCCACGACATAGTTTAGGTGACTCACACTTGATGCAGGATTATGATACAACACCTGAGTGAAACAACAGGATGCACCGTCAGCTGGTGTCTCAGCAGCTCTCGTGACTGTAGTTCATCTGCCTCTTGAGCTGATCTTCAGTCAGAGCTGATGCTCGTCTTTCACAAACTGTGCCACTAGCCCCAAAAACACACACACACCCCGACACAGAGCCATTGTCGACATGTGAGCACAACATTCAGACAAGTGCTGTCTATTCATATTTCATGGGCTCTGGTGGGCTCAATACATTGCCAGATGATTGCCTAATTAATGGTGAATAATTAAGCAGAGTTAGCAAACCCAAGATGATGAGCTTGTTCTTTTATTTATGATTTCTCAACAAAAAGGATTTGGTGTAATTAAATAAGCCCCACAGCAGATACTGCAGGTATTGTTTTTCTCCCCTCATACGTGGCTGCTTATGCAGCACAAAAAAAGCTTTTATTTGGGCCATTTGAAAATGAAATGTGCAATCATGTGAGCTTGTGTGTTTGTGTGTGTGAGGAGACGGGGGGGGGGGGGGGGGGGGGGGGGGGGGTGTCGGGAGGTGATGAGCAGGATGCAATTTGGCTTAGGAATAAGAGAAATCAGGACATCAGAGAAAATCTTATCTCGAACCAACACATCCTTCTAGACTCAGCCGGTGGGCCAGTGTGATGTGTGTGTGTGTGTGTGTGTGTGTGTGTGTGTGTGTGTGTGTGTGTGTATGGAGTGTGTGTTATACATGTGTGTGTCTAACAGATGTTCTTAGCCCTCTATCCCCAAACAGAGCTGATTTACTATAGATTGCTTGTTGTAAACCGTGCAGCAATAGTTTGCATTTCAATATGTGGATAAAAAACATCAGTGCAAAAGGCAAAACATTCAAAACAATCTAGAATCATCACAGAAGGGTTTTACTCTCGGCTCTAGCAGGAACGTTTCTGCATCGATAAGAGTAAATCAGAGTTCCTCAGGGAAATCAGCACCACCAACTGTTAATATATTGCATAACATTAATGAATGGAAACGTGTATTAATTCATTTTCTTTAGCAGATGTTTTTCCATATTTGACAACAACTTGTGCTTCATTTGGATGGAAACCCAGCTAATGTGTGTGTAGCAGACTTCGTATTGATTTCTTTTACCCTCACTACACGGTACTTCACCTCAAAATGCATGTTAGAGGAGCTTGCCCTCGTTGACCTTGTGTTGTACTTTCAATGGTACTGCAGAGATTTAGCTCTGAAGACCCATAAATTTTCATTTTCAAACTTGAGTGTGGTTGAATTCCTAGAGGTCAAGCTCCACGAATACAGCATGCAAGCAAATTGATTCTGTCGTTCATTAGGGCTTCGTTAAAATGCCCCAGTCGCTCAGCCTCCACATTCCCAGTCGTAACACAGGCCTTTTGTTATAAATTCAAGTCGAGATAATCAGACATCATTCAAGTGTTTTCACTAAAGGCTGGAACAGACTTCTCCAGGCTGCACAACAGACAAAGTTCACAAGGGTGTCTGGTCGCTGGTGCTATAAATATATAACACTCTTAATACATACATATCATAATATCTGATATTACCATACAAGATGTAGGAGGTGGTCAGGATGGATGGTCGGCTGCAGACTGCAGTTTGCATCGTGATTCTTGCATGTGGTCAGGTTTGTGCTACGAAAGTAGTTCATTTTGTT